AAGCGGTTGGGTGCAACACACTACATCAGTATCTGCTAATTGGTTATTGGATGGAGGGAGGCTTTTTGGTTAGCCATCGACCAGATTGCGTTTTCAGATGTCTTGGTCCGTTCTCATAGGTGCTGAAGAATTTATCCATGGGAATGCGTAGTAGCTTATCGACAGGATCAAGGCCTTTTCTTTGATAAGGGAGCCTCTTGTGGTGTTAGGATCAAGGCCTTCTCTTTGATAAGGGAGCCTATTGATGTGTTTCCTGTAACTTGGAGCATTGCATCAATGGGTGTTGGCACTTCCTGTAACTAGGAGCATTGCATCAATAGGTGTTGATTTTATCGCTCCAGTCTTTGATAAGGGAACATATTGTAGTGCTTCCTGTAACTAGGAGCATGGCAGGAACCTATTGTGGTGCTTCCTGTAACTATGTGATAAGGGAACCTATTGTGGTGCTTCCTGTAACTAGGAGTAACAATGGGTGTTGATTTTATCCCTCCAGTAATTAGTCATAATTCTTGGTAGTGTGCCTTCTCGAGGGGTTTGAGAGTCACCTCTTTGGCCGTCTATTCCTCTAGTAATTAGTCGTAATGCTTGGTTGTGTGCCTTCTCGTATTGATATGAGAGTCACCTCTGTGGCTGTAATGAGTGGCTCACAGTTGAATCTCCTCTGTGGCTGTAATGAGTGGCTCACAGCAATAAACGGCTGAATATTTCACAGCAATACAACATTATTGGCTAAATAAACATCTTGTTAAGTGGTCCTAGAGTTGAGCGCTACAGGCGCCATACGCTACCAGCAAGACGCTTCAGTACATTCAGTCTATTAGAGTCTCGTTCTGCTATTTTAGCAATGTGACTTTTCCACGTTAGAATCGTTCTGCTATTTTAGCAATGTGACTTTTCCACGTTAGCTCTTTCTGCTATTTTAGCAATGTGACTTTTAGCCGTTAGCTTTGTGTCAAAAGTCATTCTGAGATATGTGAATAGTGGAGACTCGTTCTGCTATTTTAGCAATGTGACTTTTCCATTAGCGACTCATTCTGCTATTTTAGCAATGTGACTTTTCCACGTTATGCTACCAGCAAGACACTTCAGTACATTCAGTCTATTGGAGCTACCAGCAAGACGCTTCAGGACATTCAGTCTATTGGAGATCGTTCTGGAGTTTAGCAATGTGGCTTTTCCACGTTAGCTTTGTGTCAAAATTCATTCCGAGATATGTGAACTCATTGGTTTTTTCTATGGTTTGAGCAATGTGACTTTTCCACGTTAGCTTTGTGTCAAACGTCCTTTCCAAGATATGTGAATCGGTTTTTTCTATGTTAGTATCCTTGTACCTTAGAAGCGGGCTCTAGGGTAATATCCTTGTACCTTAGTAGCGGGGTTATGCGGGTAGTATCCCTGTACCTTAGAAGCGGGTTTATGCTGTTACGGGCCAAAGAAAATGTTTGGAATTCAGTTTTCGCTCTGTTGGTAACCATTCCATTGTTGTCGCACCAGTTTGCTGGTAGTTTAAGAGCATAATTTAGGGCATAGAACAAGATCATCTGCATAAAGTAAGCACATGATGTCCGTGACTGTCTGGTAATTCGGCTATGTCATTGATGAATACGTTGAAAAGAGTGCAGCTTGTGACAGCTCCCTGTGGAAGACCTGTTTGTAATAGATTTGATTTTGATAGAGGATTTCCAACCTGTTTTAGATTTGATTTTGATAGAGGATTTCCATATCTGACTAAATGATCTTTGTCCAATGAATGCTTTTACCCAGTTTAGCATTTTATGCTTAATACCAATCTTTGCCAATTTTAGAATTAGCTTCTCTTTCCATACTAAGCCATATGCTGATTTGAAATCGACGAAAACAGCATATTTCTTGCATCAATGGCATCTTTGATGTGTTGGAAGACCAATTTTCGAATTAGCTTCTCTTTCCATACTAAGTCATATGCTGATTTGAAACCGACGAAAACAGCCGTAAGAGTATTTCTTGCATCAAGGGAGGTGAATACAGCCGTAAGAGTATTTCTTGCATCATGGGCATTATAGCCGTAAGGGTATTTCTTGCATCAATGGCATCTTTAATGGATACTAAGTCATATGCTGATTTGAAATCGACGAAAACAGCATATTTCTTGCATCAATGGCATCTTTGATGTGTTGGAAGATCCAATTTTCGAATTAGCTTCTCTTTCCATACTAAGTCATATGCTGATTTGAAACCGACGAAAACAGCCGTAAGAGTATTTCTTGCATCAAGGGTGACGAAAACAGACGTAAGGGTATTTCTTGCATCAAGGACATCTTTGATGTGTTTGAGAGAGTGGCTACTTGTTGGTTCGTTGATCTTTGTGGCCCCCTTCTTGTTCATTGCTAAGAATATTGTTGGTCTCAAGCAGAGCCTCTTGTTAACCATTCTTTCCATAAGTTTATCCAGCACCGCCTCCTGTTAACCATTCTTTCCATAAGTTTCGCCAGCACATAACCACTCTTTCCATAAGTTCATCACGCTCGCGAGGGAGATAGGCCTATAGTTGTCAAAGTTGCTACAGTACTGGTATTACTATGGCAACTTTCCATGGGTTAGGTACGAGAATGGTCTCCCAGATTTTGTTGTAAAGCATGGTTTTCTTGGCTTTTGGTTGCTGTTTAGCATGTCTTCGATTTCCTTTCCAGCTACGTTTGTATTCTTATAGCCCCATCTGGTGGAATGGGCGTTGAAGTCTCCTAATACTACATTTTTGTATGAGATGTTCAGAAAATCAAAGTTGGGACTATTCTGGGGGGTGGATTATAGACTGCGTATATCTTGATGTGTTTTTGACATTTCCAAACATTTAATCTGATTATTACGCATATGTCTTGCGTCGAGCCCATACTCTTGATTAGATCGTAATGTAAGGTGAGGCCTTCTTTTACCCCAGTCAGGATTCCACTTGCAACTTGCCGGTATTTAGGTAGAAGGTATAATGTGTAACCTGGGAATTGGTAGTATTTGAGTTTGTACCATTTGAATTAAAAACGGTAGATTTATCCAGGAAGGGTATGAAAAGACTTCAAGTTTAATGGGAAAGAGTTGTGAATGATTACGGAAATTGCAGAAGTTCAAAATTAACAGCATTGTAATGTTTTTAAATAGGCGATTTCTTATTGGTTCCTCTAATATTTTATTGATTTAATGTAGATAACAGGTACCGTTGAGGATCACGAATGGCCTGATGTAAGTCGAGCGAAAAACTACATTAACTACAAACCTCGTCCACCCATTCCCTTCTCCCAAATATTCACAGCAGCAGGCGACGATCTGATCGCTCTTTTGTACACTCTTCTCGCTTTAAATCCAGACCAACGAGGGACCTCTACGTCCGCGTTGGCTTCCCCCTACTTCCGAAATCGGCCTCCTCCCACTCCGGAATCTCAACTCCCGAAACCGAAGAACTCCATGGTCGCAGGTTTACTGCAGCAGGAGAGTAGGCAAGCCACAACACCATTTGATCCAGCATCGATATTTGATAATGCTGATATGCATGAAACGCCAGTGAAAAGAAGTAAACTCAGTTGAGTTAATAGTTTGACAAAAATATATATATTTTTGTATATATGACTTGAATGTATTGATTTGACTAGCAATGCCGACTTCATTGAACTTTTGCGTTGTAGTATTTGTAAGGCTTTTTTTCAAACGTCTGCCAATGACGGTTGAACATGTTATATCCACCGATTGGAAAAAGTTGCAATTTTCGACGGGTACCTTGTTAGCTCTATGACCCGACTTCAAGAATATTGCTATTTCAACGATAAAGGAGTGGAAAAAGACGTAGACAAATATAGTAGATATTCTTTTCTGCAAAAACTCTACAATGCATGGGATGTACGAAAAGGGATATGTAGACAAGTTTAGTGGCTTTATTCAAGTATTTCCGAAAGACGCTGGATATCCTCGTAAATTTCTTCTGTTGAAGAAACCTGTGATAGGTGGAGCTCTGTTTGCAGTTTTAAATTATCCTTCGTTTTCTGGAAAAAAACAAAATACTTTAATAATTATTGGAAGCAATTAGACGATAATTAATAGGCCATTAACACACTTGAATATAGAATAAAAGGATAGCGCGTTAGTGAGATTTCACTTTCCGATTAAATATAACTATATCTGGGCTCAAAAATCAAATAAACAGCCTATACTAGACTTGCAAAATGATAATTAAATTAAATCGGAATTGCGAAACGAGAAGGGGATTACTTAATCTCGGCAGTAAATGAAATTAAGTTATGCGCAAATTACGGAAAATCCAAAAAATAAGAAGAACTTACAAGAAGATTCGTGTAAAGTGATTCTCGTGAAAATTTTCCATAGTCTAAAAGTGGAAGACTTCTGTAAATATTGCAGAGGAATTTTAGGGATTTCGAAAGGATAATTTCATCTTTTTCCCAGAAGGGATTTCTAAGAATTTCATCGACTTCATTAGATACCTAAAAACAAATACATTGTCCAAAACATCAAAACAGAATTCGTGTTTGACTGTTCAAATTTAGACACACCGAGGACTTTAACATAATGAGAACACAATCGGGTTCACAGGATAGATTAAGGAGAATGGTCCAAGCTTGTCGTCTGACAGGTGCTGACTCATGCGCAATAAATCCAAAAATCTCTGAAAAATGCTCAGCAACAGCTTTAGCAGAATCATTTAGCATTGAGAAATTTCCCAAAAGTCTAAATAGAGCAACCATTTCGTTCATATTCAGTGCAGACATCTTCGCATCAAAGAATTGATCAATTTTGACCTATATCGGAAATGATAAAATGAAAATATGCGAACCTTTAGATGATCTCGAATAGATTCGTCAACAACTAAATTTGTAAAAAGATTTAGCACATGCACATTAACTGATCGTAAGAATTCGCCATCGCCTCCTAAGGTCAATTGAGAATACAACTTGTCCAAGATATCGTGCGAACTGAAAGAAGGCTAAAAAAATAACGAATACAATAATCTTACAATATTGGTATTATCGTTAGATAATTGAATAAGAGTCTTCATGATTTTGAAAAATTTTGTTGTATTTGCAGATGGGAGTAAGGATACCAAATGGCGTATTTCCTCAGGCGAAATAGAAGAATCTAATTTGTCATTTTTCTGTGAACGAGCGACGTGATTCGACGGAATAGAATCAGCTGAAGGTACTTCGCGTTTCGCACGCAGTATTTTAATGTTCCTTAATTTTTGAATATCAATGTAATGGCGATAAATTAATATGGCACCAAATGTAGTTGTTGCTATTCCGATTAAGCCTATGGCTATTCTACTAAAAGTCCCCATATATGATACAATCCTGAAAAGAATTTATAAAAAAGATTAAATTTATGCCAATTAAGCTTTAAGATTATAGAAGTGAAGTTAACTAATACAGAATGAAAAATGACTAACTGGCAAGGCCAAAGGTCAACCGGCAATTTCGAAATGACGCCTTGTGTCAACTTGACCTAAAAACTTTACGCATGTCCTGTTTCGCGTCTATCACTTTCAATTGATTGCTTATTATTGTTATGGACATTAAGATTCATTCGTTAAGGGCAAACCGAAAAAAAGATATTACAATAATAATCTGATTAAAAACAGGTTTAATATTAATCAGCTCGTTAGAATAAAATACGTCTCGAACGTAATTTTTGACGAAAATTAAACCCACAAAATTAAATACTTATTTAATATCAAATCTCAATATGATTGATTGCATAAGCTCCTCATATTTATAACCTATAATCATTTCTTACAATCAGCTTATTTACTCCCATATGCGTTACATAGTAATTGTTCGTTTAACTCGAACCAATCTCCATATTCATATTTCGCTGCAGTACCTTGCAATTTGACTCTGCTCTAATATTTTGACTTCAAATGATTGTTATCAAATCAAATCAATTTAATATTGCATATATTTGCAATGGAACATCAAAGTGAAAAAAGACGAGAGGGGGGGGGACAGAAAAGCGTTTCAAAGATGTAAAGAAGACAGACACAAAGGTAAAAAAGGTGAAGTAAGTGCTGTAGAAGTGGTCGAATATGACATGCAGTGGGGTGATAGTCGTTTGAAGTGAGAAGGCAACTGCCAGTTAAGAGTCTTTTTGCCGTATGATTAAACGTTGACCAAGGTGCCCCACGTGGAGATAGGTCTATTGCACACCCCCTTCCCCTCTGTGAAGCCTGGAGTAAACTAAAGGGCTAATTATAACTATCAAGTTGCCTACCATTTGGTATAAATATTTGCAATGGAACCTACCTAAGCATATTGCAAGAATCTTTTACTGCGGAAAGTAAAAATTAAACAATTTAAAATAATTTTTGGCTAAGGAAAACGTGTATTTACTGTCTTAGTTTTCCAGAGTTATTTCATAAAACAAAAGAGAAAAAAATATTATTCGAAATTCGTTCGAAAAGAATAACGTAAAAAACTACAACATTCTGGCTGGGCAAAGAGCATAAAAGCAGACCTCTAAGTGCCATGTTTCTCCCGCGGAATATTCACTGGTCTGCGATCTGCTAATAAAATTCGTCATAGACAGCATGGATTGGAGCTTTCTTTTGTTGATACCAATTAAAGTCTTCACTTACACAACGTTTTCGCTATTCAGAATGTGTTCTGTACTCTTTATTTGGTCATGGGTATGCACATCGAAATATATTTTTCAGTTTCACATACCTTTATATATCATATGTTAGGCAATTCGGAAGCCATGAGGGCTACTATCATCGACTTACAACACAATACATTGAGAATAGTAAAAATAGAAAAAAAATATTTGATCAGAGGTGAATAGTGGTTAAAAAATATAATGTGGATAATAACTAGAAATATCATTATGTTGATAGCACTTATCCTCTGGGCGATGTACATTTACTTAAATAGTCTCATTCTCCAGAAAATGATTAAAGTATGATTGTCGTTAAAATTTCCAATTAGTTAAAATGCGTATTTAGCGGTTGAAACTTTTAGTATGTACTTTTTAACATAAAATAGCAATCGATTAGAGAAATTTTAATTGTAGTGATGTTTATTTTCCAAGCTTTATTATATATAATAGTGATATTCATATATTTAATTATCTCAGAGCGCTTTTTAAATCTCTCAAGCGTTTAGTCAAAATTTTAATGAGAATTATTTTAGAATCTACTAGCTATACATGAGTTCCTTATATTACTTTTACCAAATTTTGGTAAAAAACGTATTCAGAAAACATAATAGTTAAAAATTTATTAATTATCGGAAACTGAAGTTTTACAAATAAATAGTTTTATTTTGTATTACAGCACGCGGCTGTTACTAATCTGCATCTCGTGATCTCTGGCGCTAGTTGGTCAGCGCGATGACTTTTAAGAAAATCGGTGTTTGTCCGGAAATTATCGATCTTCTGCATGATAAGGGAATTCTTATTCCTTCGGAAGTCCAGACTGCATGCATTCCGGAAATTCTAGCTGGCCGCGATGTTGTCGCTTGTGCACAAACAGGTTCTGGAAAGACCGCTGCTTTCGTTATCCCTATTTTACAGTCACTCATGAGCGAGCCCAGACCTTTTTACGCCCTTATTATTACTCCAACTAGGTTGGTTATTACTTTAATTTAATATCTTAATTTCTTGCCTTCTCATTTTGTATGTTTGTTTTAGAGAGCTTGCCCATCAAATAGGTGAACAAACTGCAGGTCTAAACTTGGTTCAAGGTAGCTCAATTTGTACCGTACAGATAATCACTGGAGGACGAAGCATAGTCAAACAAGGTATTGATTTGGCACTTGGTCCCCATGTAATCGTTGCCACTCCTGGTCGTTTGGCCGATCTTCTCCGAATGCAGAAAGCATCTGCAGAGTCCGGTTCAACTCCCGAGTGGAGTCTTTCACGTCTCAAGGTCCTCGTTTTGGATGAAGCCGATCGTTTACTTGAGGATTCTTTCGGACAAGATCTGGCAGAAATTATGTCCGCTCTTCCCCGTCAAAGACAAACACTCCTATTCAGTGCTACATTTAGTGACACAGTTAAAAGGGGTATGGAAGCAGCTAAAGCCTCTGCAATTGCAGAGAACCGTAAACCTCCTGTAATGTGGCAATCGAAAGGAATATCCCAGTCATCAGAACAAAAGTCCGCCAAGTCTGCAACTGTTGACACTCTTTCCCAATACTATCTCATTACAAAACCAGAGCTAAAGGATTCCTTTTTGGTTTATATTGTCAATCAATTTCTTAATGAAAATCCGCACTCTTTAATCATTATTTTCTCAAATAAGTGTAAATGGTGTCACCTACTTGGTATGATTATGCAGTCCGTTGGCATTCAGTCGGTTGTCTTACATTCATCCATGTCTCAGAATGATCGAATTAGCTCGTTGAATGCGTTTAAGTCGAGTCATGTTCGAGTGATGATTGCGACGGACTTGGCTAGTCGTGGATTGGATTTCCCCACTGTTGATGCTGTTATTAACCACAATGTTCCAATTCGTCCCAGAGATTATGTTCATCGTGTTGGCAGAACTGCTCGTGCTGGCAAGGCTGGAATGGCTCTCACCTTGGCGGACCTGTTTGAGATTAACAGACTCAGAGAGGTACAGAAGTATATTGGTGAGTTTATCGTTTATTTGGTTCAATTTGTGTTTCTATGAGGAGAAAGTTGTTGAAGTTCGTAGGTTTATGATCGCACTTAAGCTAATTCCTTTATTTGTTCAAAATGCTAAGTACTGTTTCATTTAACTTATACTCATATCTAGGTTTTTAAATGTTTAGGTATCTATAAGTAATATTTTTTTGTTATTGACTGTTTCTGGAACATAAAAGTTGTACTATCTATTTGCCAGTTATTAACTTTGTACAAACCAATAATGTGTTTATATACTTTGAGACAATCGTTGATTAATAAGTTCAAGTGCCTGAAGTCAAGGGCTCATTGTGATTCCCACTAAGTGAGTGGAGTGATCAATCACACTGGCAGAATTGAAGTTTCTCGTCAGAGAGGCTCTCGATGACGTCTCCCTTAAACTCAGGAAATCTTGGGTATTATTCTTACTACTGTTACTATCCCCCCATTTTTACTGATCATTACTGTGTACAGCTTTTGTTTATATTTTGAATTGGCTTTATTGTATTTTACATAGCACAGTCATGCCTGGTGTTATATGTGGTAAAATGTTTGGGGTAAAAGCTCTTTTTGAATCCATCATTGGATCTCCGATTAATTTAACATCATTTCTTCGCTTGTCCTATTTTTGTGTGTTATATTTTCCTTTATTTTAAGGTAAGGACCTGCAAAGGTTTGAAGTGAATGAGGGTCAAGTTTCGGAAATCATTACTGAAGTCACTATCGCAAGAAGAGCTGCAGAACGCGTGAGTCTTGTGTCTTTTTCTAATTTAATATTGCGTTAAAGACAGGTGCTCATTAGGTATAACCCCTTAATCCATGCATTGTGTGCTGATGCATTCGTGGTTATCGTGTTTTCCTGCGAATCCAAAGGTACGATGCCCATCAATATGCACCTAATGAGCGAAATAGCCACCACTCAATGACGTTTTTTCTTGGCACATAATGGACGTTGGAAACGACGTCCTAAATGGGTTTGTGAAATATAATTAAGGAGTGTGTTAGTCACTAACCTAGAAGAACAACAAGTTGATTGGAAGTAACTAATATATTAACTGGTATATATTCACCTGCAATGCAATAAGTCTTATCATCGGCCACTACAATCTGAAGTACTTAGAGTACAAGTGTTAGAAATAATTTAGGGATTTTAAAGAGTGATGTGCTAAGGTCAATAAAATTGATCAAATGTTTTCATTCTTTAATGGTCCTCTTCATTTCAGAAACTTGATGAAATTCGCTTCGATGAGAAACGAGAGATAATCAAGGCCAAGAATGTATGTTTTCAGTTTATATTATCTTTTACTTATTACCCTCTTACCGAATAAATATTACTTAGTTCATTTGTTGATTTAATCTATTTTAGCTCCTCAAAGCACAAAGTGCTAAACGAGAATTACAAGAAGCTCAAAGTAATGCTTCGAAGAAAAAAAAGGCAAAAGTTCAAATCTCAGATGATGAAAAATCAACTAATTAATTCTACACACAACTCTGTAAATTTACTTTGTAATTAAAACCCCTCCCATTATAAACGTGTTTTTTTTCATTTTGAGTAAAATTGTACTTGATTTGTATTTGTAGCCATAATGGGGAGTAATAATAAATGTGCAGAGGGTGGAAATCAGTTACCCTGTATTTCACCAATTTCAATGGGGTGATTGGTTTATGATCCACCTCAATCAGCTTAAGTGGGAAAAGGGACAGAGAAATCAAATGTCTCTAGATATGTCGTTAGCTTGATGTATTAGGTTGGCAACTAAGTCATTGCCGATTTCAAATAAGAAGGCAAGTTCGGAATTTTTGTTTAAAAATATAACTTTATTCAATTAGATATTGGCCGTTCTTGTCGATGACCTTTTTCCATCGTTCTGGCAGAGTAAAAATTCCCCGTTCGTAAAATGGCTGGTCTTTGCTATTAAAAAACTGAATTAGGTGTGATCCGACATCATCCGCGTTGTTAAAAATTTGACCATTTAAAGAGTTTTGCATGGAAGGAAACAAATGGTAATCTGAAGGCGCAAGGTCAGGGCTATATGGTGGGTGTGACAAAACATCCCAACCCAGTTCCAATAATTTTTGCCGAGTAACCAAAGATGTGTGGGGCCTTGCGTTATCATGATGGAAAACATCACCCTTCCGATTTGATAATGCCCCCCGCTTATCTTCAATTGCATCCTTCAGTTTTTCGAGTTGTTCAACATGCACATTTGAATTTATCGTTTGGTTCTGCGGCATGAGTTCAAAATGCAAAATTCCTTTGTGATCCCCCCACCAGACTGACAGCATAATCTTTTTTGGTGAATCTCTGCTTTTGATACTGTTTGGGCTGGTTGATCTTGCTTCACCCATGATCTCTTCCAAGAAACATTGTTATAAACTATCCACTTTTCGTCGCCAGTAACTAGGTTCTTCAGAAATGGATCATTCTCATTCTCATTGCGTTTCAGTAGCGGCGAATCACAGATGCTAATCCGTTGCGTCAAATGAATTTCCTTTAACTGGTGAGGGATCCATAAATCAAGTTTCTTGACATAACCAAGGGTTTTTCATTTTTTTTTTCAATGCATTTATGCGACACATTGAGCTTCTCTGCAATATCTCGTGTTGTGATGTGACGATTTGAATCGATAATGGCCTTGATATGGGTTTCATCCACTTCGACTGGGCAGCCAGATCGTTGTGAATTTTTCAGTGAAAAATCACCGGAACGAAATCTTTCAAACCAATTTCGACACTGCCTTTCTTTTAAGGCTTCGTCTCCATATACGGCACATAACTTCTTTTGTGTTTGCGATGTGTTCTTGCCTTTTCGGAAGTAATACAATAAAATGTGTCGGAAGTGCACGTCCTGTTCTTTCATTTTTAAATTGGGATAAAAACAAAACTAAAGAGCTAAACAAAAAAAATTTTTTACTAATTAACGTAGAAGCCCATACAGTAAGAAAAAAATATAGGTTAGATGCTCTGACCACGTTAACAAAACAAAAGAAAGTATAGAGTGAATCCGTCAACAAAAACGGCAATGACTTAGTTGCCAACCCAATAGTATAGATATTCCAATTTAATAAGAATTGAAAGTGTTGATATTATTTATAAAATAGAATAATTAAGAAAGGCAATGTATCAATCATAATTTAGATGAGAGCTGAGGAATCTTCACAAATTTTCTGTCAAAATTGATGGGGCTAAGCAATATGTATCAGAAGTATAGGAAGCCAGTGCGGTTAAATAGCTCCAAAATTTTACGAACAAGAACTTAATATTAGTAAAATAGCTTGTTTATAATGGAGAAACTACCATTTGGACATGTTTCGGTTCGAGCATCGGCAACCGGAGTCGTTGATCGGGAGTATTATCTATTTAGTGCTACTATTGTCAATAACAAATCAAATTTCTTGAAATTGGGTCAGATCAAAACGTTTGGGGAGGCAAATGATCTTAGTCGGGTATCATACAGCCTAAAGTTTCAGGAAAACATCGTATATTGCATACCAGCCTTGTCAAACAGAGTTGAAGTATATACCTTGCTTTATTTCCATAAAAGTATAAATACCCTACTTACAACTAATAAGTAACAAGTTGTTAAATAATAAAGTCTACAAACTTAGAAATCAAATTCCAGAAAATAGCACATTATTACAATAAATTGGGTTTATATATTTAGCCAAGTACAATCATCTATCGTCATTTATTCGAAGAAATGAGGTTAGAGGAGTAGAAGGAGAGAAAAGCAACGCGGGAGTTCATCGTTAAGAGACAGAATTTACATACATACATATTGTACACTCGTGTGTTCCTCGCCCTCCCTTAATTTTATACACATTAAAACACATTCAAACACAATAGGGGAGAGAAGGGCAGTTTTTCAAACACACTGTAATGTTTTAAAGAGCATTGTAAGTAGGTGGAGGAGGGGGATTCGGGTTCCCAGACATGGAAGGAATGGAGTTCGACGCATCCAAGTAATGAAGGTAGGAAGACTGATGATAGGGTGTTGATGGAACGCTGCTTCCACTAAGTTGATTCCAATCCCCATTTGATCTCTGCTCACCAGCCATTGGAAGGTAAGCGATGGTCGAAGTTCGGCTGATACCTTCCTGAGGAACTGTGTTAGGAGAGTAGACAGACTGATTAGTGGTATAGGGGGGAACAGGGGCGGATTGAGGTTGTATATAGGGTGATGAAGAAGGAAGATAAGATTGATGAGCGACAGGTTGAGACTGAGGTGGATATGAATTCATTGGATGACCTTCATTGAGCTTGGTGGAGTAGCTATCATCAGTTGGGCCGGTTGAAACAGACGGAAAATCATATTCGGGGATATAGTTCCTTTGAGGCTGGAGTGTGGGACATTGGATATGCCCACCGCCCCAGTAAACTCCATTTTGCTCCTGAATAGGCTGTTGAACAACTTGATGGCCAGAGCCAACAGACGCGAAGGTATTATGGTAGGAAACAGTTGGAACATCGCTTTCACTACTACTACTAACGGGAGTTTGTAGTCGTCGAATATAGCCAACGATGTAATTAACCTTAGCGCTGTAAGGATTGATGAATGCTGAGAGCGTACATTTCACGGGGACAATATCCTGCTCGGTAGCAAGAGGCGGAGTAGAGGACTTGGGAGGTGAGCTGCCAGGTGGACGCAGATGAAGGTCGATATCAAACTTCTGACCATTCGAATTCCAGACTAAAATAGGGTTAAAAAACCGGTTAAAGTAGTACTCATTCTTTTGTTCAAGATAAAGTTATTCCTTCAAAAATAACAATACAACTAACAATCAATACACATCTTTCTCTAAAAAAAGGGGATTCGAGAAGAGGACACAACTGAGTGAGATCTACAATTAGAATATAGTAGATGGTAGGGTAGTCAATGCAAAAGGTCAAAATTATGTTGGCCGATGACAGAAGTGTGATATTGTTAATCGACTACGCAAATTAATTAATCGGCCAGTGAGCTCCAAGAGCTGTGGAGAGCAGAAAATCGGTGGGGAAGTGAATTCTGAGATTTAACCATTAGAACGAGATGCAGTAGACGAAAAGTGAAGCACAACTTGAATCCAATGTTCAAATTTGAAAGGGGTATTTTCATGCCCTGACTTCATTTTCTTATTCTACTTATTGCTATTCCTTCAGCAAATTCTGAATTGCTTCACTATAACCCCCCCCCCCATATTTGGTTGCTATTTCCACCTGTCTTAGTTAATAAATAGAACTGTGACGAGAGAAATGATCACCATCAACAACCGACATACAATAGTGCATTAGTGACATGTGCGCTAGTCAAGTCAAAGGTAATGAGTTTTGATGTCCATTCGTACGAAACTATCGGTGTGGAGGGCCAACAGGACCGGTTGAAATTTGATAGTTAAAAGCGTTGATTCCACAAAATACCGTTCCCAGGATATCTTCCTTCCAGTTCATATCAAGCCTTGTGACCACCACTCCCACTAACGGGCATGAGAAGATGACAATACAAAAGGACTCAACACAATCCCTTCTAGGGAGAGAGAGAGTTTTTCCTCTGCATTTTCTTACCAGTGAAGATCAATGAAGGCTTAATGTAATTAGGCTTTTCGACAATTTCTGAAAAATATCCTGCAAACCTTGAAATAACTTCAATAGATTATGGCTCCTATCTATCTAGCCTTCGATTAGAGCCACAAACATCCTCTTCCTCCGCCGCCTCTTCGTCGCATGAGGATTATACCTTATTAATCGAGTTTGGCCTCAGCTAGCACGCTGTGTGCGTGTGTGTGTGTGTGCTGTGAGAAACATAGAGCACAAACCTAAATTTGTTTCCCATCAAATTAAATGTAACTAAGTAACTAGCTCATTCACTAACAAGATGTACCAAATTACTGGGTGTATGAGAAACTGCTAGGATGCGGAATTAATGGTAAGTAATGAAAGATACCACCTTCGCTTACCATTATTGACTAATACTACTATTACTTCATTTTGGACTCATAATTACGCAATATTAAGGAGGCTAAATATGGAGATTTCCAGCTAGTGAAGAGAATGGGCATGAACAGATTTCAATTTATTCTCAAAAATGCTAACGAGTGGACATCGTTGTCATGCCTAGGGTTAAAGGTTATGATATTTCCGTCTATTAAAAGAAAAAAGGATAATATAGCATCACTACAAAGCACGTATAAACATCAAAGGCGTAATATTTCAAACAAACTATAACGCATTAACATGCACGACAAAGCAAAATAAAGCTCTCCAGAGATGAGAATAGTGAAAGAGACCCAAGGTAAGAGGTTTTCAACTTTAATCATGAGTTAGGAGAGAGCGCTTTTGAGTCTCCCATGCGAGAAACCTGGATTCCGGCTAGACTTAACCAGAGTGGACACCATTCCGTTCACACCTATGACTTCTGACTTCGCAGACGGACACGTTAACACCACTGTGCCACAAGTGCACAAGATAGCGCTGACCAAGTTGATCAGGAGATCTAGTAGACTTCAATCCTTGCCAAAAGTGGACAATGGTGTGTGCGATAGACTTACCTCCACATGATGCACCCTGGGCAACGTATACTCATACGGCAAAAAAAGTCTACTAACCGGCAGTTGACTTCTCACTTCAAACTACCATCACCCCACTGTATGTCATATTCACCCACTTTCACAGTACTCACCTCACCTTTCATCTACCTTTGTGTCTGTCTCTTTTGCATCTTTGAGACGCTCTTCTGCTCCTCTCCCCTCTCAACTTCTTTCGCTTTGATGTTCCTCCTCCCCTCTGTGAAGCCTGAAGTCAACTAAAGGGCTAATGATAACTATCATAAAGCCTGCCATTTGATTAAAAAAGGGAACAATTGCAAAGGAAAGCAAGCATGTGGCAGTTGAATATGAAATGGAACGACAAAGCTATATTAATTCTAGTAGAAAAAAACAATGGGGTCTTTGATAAGTTGTGCACTATAGAGATTTAGTTTGAACCTAGCAATTTAACAACCCGACTGAGGAATGCTAAGCGAACAAGCTACGCCTCCTCCAGACCATAAGGAATAAAGCTCTTGACCCCAAAGCCATCTAATGTTTGGGGGGAATAAATGCGTTGTATTATTTAACACTATCAGGTGTGCGTGTGTGTGTGTGTATAGATATGAGTAAATAAACGCGCGTATATGCTTGTGTACGCCGCACATACGTGAACAGCGCATGTGTATAACATAGTCGCCGCCGCTGCTGCTGCGTTCGCATCAACTCACAACCAACGCAGCCACCAAACCACCTAGACCCACAATTCAGCTCTCAGCTCACACAGGCATGCACGCACGTTAAATTAGCGTAACACAAGCGCAAGCAAACAGGCCGCTGGTGCGTATGAGAAGATTCGCTACGAGCGGGTACGGATTTGTCTTCCCTCTCTCTCCCTCCCCCTCCCTGCCCCCGCTATCCCATCTCCTCTAAGCCGAACATAAAATATCGACTCGCGGTTAATACTTCTATGTGAGTGAGTGAGTGGGACGGGACAATAGGCAGGCAATTCAGCCAGCCAGCCAGCGAACACCACTAGCAACACTGACGTCGGTAAGAGGGCGGTAAAAGAGGGAGGGGATAGAATACAGGAACTGTTCCTCCCTTCTACCAGAAAACTAGAAAGAGAGGGAGAGAGAGGGAGTATTCACATGCGCATTCGATGCGGCCGCATTAAAGCCCCATAAAGAAAACTCACTGTCTCTTAGTCTCTCTCTTCTACTCAGAAAACTAATAAAGTATGAATGCACCTAAGAGTTGAGTTGAGCTAACTATTTGGAATCAACCTACACCTTGCATGTTCAAATTCAATTAGTTAATTACCCGCCCTCTAACTTCTCTACGCACCTCTATAAGCGATTCCTAATTAGATTTGTATATGTTCCACACATTTAATTGATAAGACAATGGCGTGCAGAAAATATATAGAGGTGGGGGGGGGGGGGGGGGNAAGAAAAACATTAGAAATATTAAAACACCTTAAGCTAATGCTAAATAGTTGATCGTGTCTATTAAGAGGAATATTTCGAAATGGAATGTCCAATCACTCAATATATTTAAATTGTAGGCACACAAATTAAGTTACTCATTGATGGATCAAACGCCGACATTCAAATTTGGGATGAAAATAGCATGACTCGCCTCATTAGAAACGAAAAGCGTTAAAACAGAGGACACTTAAAAGTAAGAATTCATTGATACTCAGACTTGGAACTCCGTTTCCCCTCACGGCCAGTGTCCAATAGCCCCAATTGGACCAATTATAACTCAATGAGGTGGAATGTGCCACAGACTTACCTCCACGTGGTGCACCCTGGGCAACGTATACTCATACGACAAAAAAGTTAATAAACAGGAAATTGACTTCTGACTTCAAACTACCATGACCCCACTGTATGTCATATTCGACCCCTTCCACAGTACTCGCCTTACCTTTTTCTCTCTACCTTGTGTCTTCATCTTACATCCGCGAATCTATCTTCTATCCACCCTCTCTCGATCATTTTCCTTGGTGAAAATGTTTCTGGCTCGGCAAAGGGTAATAGAAACAAAGAGAGTTAAGCTCTTTGGTGAAATTTGATCGAATGCGAAAAATTTGACAACAAAAATACCATTAAAACAAAAACACGAATAGGAACGACCCAGAAGGAATAGACAACTCTTGATCTCGAAATTAAACACAACCAGAGGATAAGCTTCCGCTTGAAGAAGCGCAAGTTCACTCAAACGTCAAATAACCAACCGGCTAATTAATTTTTAACAACGCAAATAGAGTAAAAGGAGAGGTAGTTCATTCTAAAACAGGCGCCTACCTGATACCTCAAAGTATCTTCAATTTCTGAATTTGCATTTCCGATGGCCAAAGTGACAAACGAAATAGAGTTAGTATAATAAACAATGATTAATAAATGAAAAGAATAAATGCAAATTTATCAATAAGAGGGATCTAAAGTTACCTATCGTTAACTCCAAGCGAGCTCTGTAAAATTAACAATATTTACCACATCTTGAAATCCGATTTCCTTGTCAAACAATAGTTGTTAACGCTATTCTGATTGGAATATTTAAAAAAACAAAGGAAAATATTAATATAAACGCCGTACCTTGTTCAAATAGAGTCGAGAACCGCGATGCTTCGTCCTCTCGCACAATAAGATCTGTAAAGGGTTCTCCGAGGAGGTTTTTCTGAAGTGCTGTCGAATCGGTGTTGGTAAAGACATTAGAAATGCGCTGATCACAAAAGTAGACCCGCTTGTCCCCTCCCAGTCGCACAGCGAATTCATGGTAAGCATGGTGGGTGGAGAGGTCGGCAGCATTGGGGAGATTTGTCAAATGAAGACGCGCAAGACCCACAAAGTAGACAGGACCTTGGGGGGTATTGGATGTTGCACCCCCGCCACCATTGTCTGTACTCCCATTTACGCCCTCCGATTTCGAGTGATCTAGAAATGAAGACAAAGAATGGTATTGCGAATTGGTCTCCACTGCAGCACTGGGGAAAGGAATATATTAAGCGATGAAACGTAAATCCATACTACTGACAATAAAATACTCCGAGTCTTTGAGCGTTATATCTGCGACACATCTGCGGCTGCGGAAGCACCATCAAGAACGAATGTACTACCTCGTGTGAGTACCAGCAAAGAGAAACTAAGCCGCGTCAAAGGTCCGGCAGATACCATCGAGAAGCCCAAAAAAGAAGTCATAGACCCATGGTATAGCGTGCTCACTGCTTCTTTTCCACGCTTGAAGTTCTTTACTCATTACTTACTAAGTAGCCTTTTACTCTACTTAGATCCCATTCTTCTCTGACCGCGCGCAAACATGAACTCATACACTTGCGTTTTCTAATTGTCAATTGTTAGCGTTATAATGGCATATCAACGAACAATCCGCATGAAATCATTTATCTATCGTAGCGCATCTCATTAGTCCTTCATCACACTCCGAGTCCTAATATTCAGAGGCTCATATTCCACCTCATTTGCCAAATACACATTTGAACAAGACTTTCGCTTTGGAAAGACTGTTCAGGCCTTTAAAGTGGTACTGCGATAGGATTTAAGACCCAGAGTTTATGAAACAAAGCCTTTTAAAAGTGCCAACTCAAACTGATACCGAAAATGATAGAAAAAAATGTTAAAAAATTTTGCTAACTTGAGGTGATTAGAGAGCTGCTTTCCAAAAAAACACACTAAAATAAATGCTCATCATTAGGAGATTCCAAAGAGTTATAGACAACTCTTCTAAATTAAATCAAACGAAATGAACACCATATTGTCAATGAACCCATAGGAGGTAGTGAGATAAGCTCTTTTATGCTTTAAAATGACAAGTACAAGTTAGAAAGCGGAAGCGCAACTTTTACAGACCGATACACCCCCAAAGTGGTAAAAGTTAGGACTCAATAAGAACATGGAAGTACTGTACAGGAAGTCTTTCATCCAGAATAATGCTCGGTAACGGCTCTGTAGTTCCGCATATTTCAACCAATATGCTAATTTTAAGGTCAATTAACAATAGATTGTTAATGTAACTTAGGTTTGATAAAAGTAAATAAGTTTTTTATCTAACATTTCCTGATGTGATTTGCTTCTAAATACGTTTTAGTGTTGAATGCACCATGAATATTTTTCGTAGTTTTCTGAAGAGCTCGTAGTAGCGAGGGGACCGATGAATGCGCCGAGTTTTCAGGGTTTCGGGATTCCGAGGAGGAGGAGGAGGAGAGCGGCCACATGCGCCCAGAAATCCGTTTTCAATTCGGAAAATATGGGGAACTTTGTGATAGCAGAGCAAGATTTGGACACTAACATGAAGTTTACGAGAACAAGAGTATCTTTCTCCCCCTCTCTCCCCCCTTTTGACAAGAGAAGATGTCTTTGAAAGCATAATGTCAACGAGTTGCTCGTTTTTGACAATTGAACTTTGTCATGCTGTGGTATAATTGGTGATCAGGCGGATAGGATAGCGGGTCTGATTGCTTCTTGGGCACAGTAAGCCTGGAAGTAAGCGATAGGACGACTTGGGGGAAAGAAGATCCCGCAAAGTGCTTAAGATTCGCTAATTTTCCACTATCTCTGATTGAGCGTTGTACTTTCATGACGTCATTGGCCACTTCAACGAGAGTTGCAGCAGGAAGTACCAATGGCGATAATAGTTGAAAGTAGCTTCTATTTCTGCTTTGTGGCTGAGGAGATCGGTTGCAGAAAGGCATATTTTGAATGGTGAATTTTCATTCAGACTGAATAAGAAAGATACTTTTAGATCCAAGTCTTTTTTTGCCAGGCGGAAAAGTGAGGCAATCTTCTAATTTATTTGACCCTAAGCATAGCGAGGTATTCAAATAAATGCTGAATTAATCATCTAATAAGCGAACGTTGATAAGCGGTTCTGCTTCGGATAAAAAAAACAAAGATTTAATAAATTTGTCAAAAATACCAATTAAGCACTCACTTCTCCTATCATGTGGAAACAAATTAAGGACAAGTCTAATCAGACCAACCCAGTGTTCCCTTTCTACTTCGATTCATGTTGATCACAATAAAACCTAAGAGTGTCCGAGTAGGAGGGCGAACAGAGGAAAGATAAAGGTAGGGGGTAACTTTGCAATTCCGAGACTTGACCTCCAGGTAAACGCCAAACAAAATATTTTAAAACAATGCAGAGAGATCAATGTAAGGACAAGCATAACTTGAGATTTAACTTTGACGTCTTAAAGACTAATTAAGGACACCAAGCCCATAGAAGAAACCTGTCCATACTGGTTGAAAATCTCTTGCACTCAGGTGAGGAACTCACGTAAACGTGCTCTCTCTCTCTCTCTTTCCATTCGTAAAAAAAACAATCATAATAAGGAAGTATGAGGACAGACTTCTCTGAATTGGACACATGTTTGTCCAGCTGTCCTACCAATCCACAAGCATGACTCATCTCCTCCTAGGCATTACCAAGAGAGGACGGCGGACACAAAAAGACGTTAAATTCACTCACCCACAGTGCTACCTCCGTCCGTATTGGAATATAGGGGGGGGGGGGGGGGGGGGGCGTGGGGGGGNTTTCCCCCCACCCCCCCCCCCCCCCCACCAATTCCCAAAGCCCTGCTACTACTAAAATGCCAATGTGAAGGACTTTATGGATGGGAGTGGAAATAGGGGAGAGAAAGAGGAGTAATAAAGGGAGGTATTGAGTCCAATAGGATGCGATTAAAATACCAAATATCATCAGGGAGAAAATTTGAGCTTTCAGTTACTTAAGAAGAAAATAGAAAACAAATCATTACTGGTCCGCAATTCATGCAGTTGTTAGTTAAGATGTATACTCTTTTCAAAAAGAAATTCAAAATTCAAAGAATTTAACAGCCTTATAAGAAATTAAGGCTAGAGGAATTGAAGATGAGAAAGGAAATTATAAACCACGCCAAAAATAAATAAAGAACTCAAGCAGAATGCCCCGAATCCTACTTTTCCCATCCTCTCACAATGCACTTTGTTTGATTCCGCTGTAGAATGTCAAGTAAATAAGATGCTAACAATTACATCGAACACCCTCTTAAGAAGCTTTAGGGAGTTTAATAAACTATAAATAAAGACATAGTGATTCCTGTGGGTTTAAAATCTTCACGTCAGATAAAACAATAGCGCGCGTGTAAAGAAAAAATCTGCATAATTTTTTAGCACTGGACCAGTAATAATAAACAAGAGGACTTTCCAACTTCGACAGGTTGAATTCCTACTTCATCTTCCATAATTCGGAAATATTAAAGTTACCCACCCACTGGCAAAATTCGTAACACGTATAGATGCAAAATACTCAAGAGACCAAGGAGGAAAATCAATATAAACAATTTGCCTTTTCAAATTTTGAATGAAATACGAAATAAAGTAAGCAAGATTCAATCAATAGGCACTGGATATTCTTCAACAATGGGGATGATTTATGAAAGTGAACCTACGCCTTAAGTGGAAAAGAGAGAGACTTTGATATCTTTACTATATTCAACATTGTTTCAATCATTTCCTCTTTAGCATCTATTGGACTTCCCAAAAATCGATTTTACCCACTTTTCTCACATCAAAGTTACAATTTTTCATAATTAATGTAAGCAGTACAAATAGTAGACGAACCTAGCAAGGAGACCACAAAATTAGTTGCGGATCGAGGAAGTGAATATCCATCTTCATTAACAGTCATTGGTGCCTCCAGACCAGACGGAACATGCTTAATTAAGCCAGTGACATGCATGAGAGCGTAGTTCTGTTGCTGATGAGAGGAAGGAATAGAAGAAAAGTCTGCACCGTCCGCTCCGTTGAATGAATCGGAAGTGGGAGCATTGAGGACAATCTGTTGATGTCTGAGACGATTAAGACGGGCCATTGCAGACGCCGAAGGATGTTGGGCAATCGATAGAGCTCCCAGCTTCATTCTACAGAGGAAACCCCGACGATCATCAGACACACCCATTCGTGATTTAGCTGAAAAAAGGAATATTCAAAAATAATATGGGGAAAATAATTTTAGAATTTCTCAGCAATATTTAAACCATTAATGGCATTTGTTAAATAACAAAACGTTCATCTGAACGCATATGAATTAAAACCTAAAGGCAGAATGCAATTTATTGCCCAACTGGGAAATCAATTAAAATAGAACAGATGAATGATAACATAAAATGCGGTGATATCGCCACAGCAACACAAAACATACTAAACACATCAAAAGCAGCTTAAATAATCCCCCCGATTTTTCTGTTCAAACGTCGTCTGACATAGAAGGAAAATGATGTCAAAATTATAAGCAATACTTTAGGCCACAAGTTATATTCTCAAGAAAACCATCCACAGTCATCTTTATCTCTCTCTTTCTCTTCATCTTCCAAGCGAAAAAGGCTTTAGTAAATAACAGTTACCCATTATAATGCAAAATCTTAATAATCATATCAGTGAAAAAATAAAAACGAGTGAGACAAAAATGACTTACATCCATCCCGTTTGATTATCCCAGATTTAAGATCGAGTGTTCTGAATGTTGAGCTAACATTTGAGGTATCCGAAACCCCATGACGATTTGACCCGTTAGAATTCATATCAGGTGAAGAATTAAAACCAAATACAGCACAAGAAGAAGCTCGCTGAACACCAACAAGCTGATCCCGAATTTTTTCAACATCGTCAGGATGACAAAGATCATAGAGAGCGCTCTGATACCAGTCGGACTACAAAGAAAAATCATAAAATGCAAAAAACAAACAAAAAGAGCAATTTAAAAGTAAATTTACTTGTGAACAGTAGAGAACAGATGAAATACTGTCGGAAACATATACGATTCTTCCTGTGTCACATTGACAAACAAACAAAAAGCCATCGGCAGCCTAAAGAACAAGTTTAAGATACAAAACACATAAAAAGAAAACAAAAATAGAAGAATCAAAACAAACTTCTAGTATTAAATGACGCAGCTCTTGATCAGTAAGAAACGATTCTTTATGGGTATTATCTGGAATATTATTCGCTCCTGAAAAAAGGCAGCAATAAAATATCAAATGATTTCAAAATTAAATATAAAAATAAACTGGCCAACATACCCCGAAGGCTTTTTAAATGACCTACAGCCATTCGAAGAATTGTCAATTTATCTGGACGCCTTGACACAGAGTTGCACGATGGCAACATTTGGCATAACTCTGTAATATATGCAGACATTTTGTTACGCCGCCTACGTTCAATTTGACAATGATTTTCCCTAGCAGAGCGTTCTTTTTCGAGCTGAGCGTAGGAATCATCTCTATTTGGCTGCATGCAACTGTTGCAACTGCTGCCTTCACAAATACTATTTGAGTTAATAATTACAAAAACACATACTGTTGGTCATTTGTCATATCTGACATCATATATAAGATCCAGTATTAAAACCTAAAGATATATAATTGACAAAAGTGAAAAATTATCACCACTTAAACAATGAGGATTTTAGAACATTAATTAATAGCATACGCAATAGGAGCGGCCAATCATTCAAGAAGTGGGGCTTTTGTTTCTTTCTTCTTTAACACACTTAAACAGATTTATTAAACGTGACAATACAAATGTTTTACAGAAAGGAAATTTTATTTATGTTTGAAATAGTGTCTTCATTGAATTTTTTTGCCGTGTCTGCATATAATTTAAATTTATTAGTGCTGCATATTTATTGTAGCATAAAAATGGCAATTGCATATATTAGACTACCTATTTTACAACTCAGTAATTCAGTTATACTACATTCGAGCTCAAAAATCTTTACTAAATGGATGAAAAAATACATTAAAAATGGTTAAAATCAAAATATTACTGACGCTTCTCACTTTGCATTTTATATTTGAGAGAGTTCAAGATTATATTAATTTAAAAAGGTGAAATATTTAATTAGGGCTAAAGAATATTGCTTCTTCGCTTTTGGAAATTGTGATAGTAGATGCAATCTTACGCACCTGAATTACGATATACTGCTAGAAGGCATTTTATTAACCGATTTAGAAATTTAATTAGAGACACCATAATCGAAGCGTAACAATAATTGAAATATAATTGCTATCAATATTGTACGTTCTCTGAGAAAACCCAAATTGAAAATTAAAGCAAAAATAGTCATTAATTTTTCCTTATTAATATTACTCAATTCAAACTAATTGGTTATATTCTTTCTCAAGTATTGCTAAGCGTACATAAGCAGTGTGTATTATTGAAAACATTGAAGTTTCCATGAATTCATTATTAATATAACATTCGAGCTATCATTTGTATCATTATATTTATAAATTTAAGATATCTTTTCTTTAATCATGGTCAAGTATTACAAGGGCAAATTCTGGAATTGCGTCCTTTAAATCGTGCCTTCAGAATATTATGGAGTTGCCCCCCGTGTGGCACGTTTTTTTCGCTCCTTTAACATATTTGTTTGTCTTCATGAGCTTCATTCTTGTATGGATTTATCATTTCAACTTATCATCTGATACACAGTGTGAACTTGAACGCATTTGTAATAAAAAGCTTGAAGGCTTTTCTCGAATATCTAAAATAGGTAAGGAAACTCTTTAAATTCAATGTTTAAAGAAAATTATATCAGTCTTTCTCAAAACACGTTGATTCGAGATGGAATGAATTCTTTTTCCATATCTAAATTTACGAAACTTGTTCTCGAACAGGAGAACATTTTCAACAAATCGTAATGTTTGCTCTTTTCTTATTTTATCAGAATTTCAGCTGTAGTCAAAACTTCCCTTGTTCAAATTCGTGGTTATCGAAGTTTAGTTCATAGTGTCAAGTCTTTAAAGGAAACAAAGTTCCAAGTTGACAATTCAAAGCATACTAATATTCTAAAAGAAGTACATTCTCTTTTATTAATTTTTACAAGCTAGATCTGGAATGGCTTACTTCCAAATGAGCCATTCTCTTTAAACAGCAAACTATGGTCTGATGTCGGGTTTCAAGGTACAAATCCTTCCACGGATTTTCGTGGTACAGGCGTACTAGGTGCACAGAACCTGGCGTAAGTGAGGTCAGGTCGTTATCAGTTATTTTTTCTAGTTATTTCATTAAACATTTTCATGAGTACGCTTCTATCGTCCACTCGGGTTCAGTTGATGCGAAGTATTGGTACGTTAAGGTATTTTTAATCAATTTATCGTCTAGGTATCCATTTGCTACCGCTGGGATAAATCTTACTGATTTGACCTGGCGTCTACTTGAAGATGGATCTTTAAAGACTCATTTCTACAATTCTTTCACAAAGGCTCCTTCTCTCATTAACTTTCACGACGTATATGGTAAGTCCTTTTCTCACTTTTGATTCTTAGTTTCCATTTTTGTAAAATTCCACAAACTGTGGATGAAACAACCACGAAGTGTTATGGAGTTTAATTCAGTCGTGATGCACTTTGAAAAAGATCTCAGAAAACAGCTGGATAATGAATGTTTTACATTTATTCTTCCTGGAAATAAATAAGGAACAACAAATGCATTCCTTATCGGATTGTGATTAAAATTTTCATTTATTAAAACAATTTGTACAAAATACATATTCGCTGTGCAATTCTTCTCAATTCATAGAAGGGGGTAATGCAGGTCCTTCTGTAATAGCTTCTGAAGCTTCGCTCTGACGAGTTCTGACGTCGTGCTCACGAGAATCCTTCTCCAAAGCTGACCACTTTTCTTCAAATTCGACGGCTTTCTTACGAAGTTCTTCAAGGGAGTCCTTTTTAGGTCTTCGCCATCTATCTGGTGATTTGCTTAGTATTCCTGCAAGGATTTCCTGGTAACAAATAAAATGCATACGGATTAAATCATGCAAGAGAAATCGGGGCTAGATCTGAATTTTTCAATTTTAAAATTCAATAGTTTTGAAGCAGCACTAATCCCGAGAATAAAGCTTTTACAAGATCGGGTACCAAACCAGAAAAGAGCTAATAATTTCAGTACTATGGCCTTGACAAAAATCTAGACTTGAGCGTTGGGACTCTTGTATACTGAACAATCATAGAGAACATCTGCTTTTGTGAAGCTGCACGAAAAAGCAAAATTAGGTTGATCTACCATTTTTCAAACACTTGTTTAATAACAATCCCCATGGGAAAAATCCGATTTTATATTCACGAAACTGCAGTAATGTCTCAAACCCCATATCTGTCGGACCTCTTCGAGTCTTTAAATTCACCTTTATTGCTACAACTACCTAGTTTCATGCAAAAGTACATCTGCATTCATGCTCCCACGGGGGTTCTTATCCAAGCGACCCAAAAAATCGTCTTTTTAATTATTGCCTCCCCCATTATTAATGTTAATTGTTATTTTGAAATAACCCATTGGCTGCCTGCGGTTGTCGGCTTATAGCTGCTAATCTAAGCTCTCTCACAATTTTTGTGCACCGCTCTATGCACGGTACTTCAAGTTCTCAAAACTACATGTTTTAAATTTGCTACTAGTCCAAAACTGCTCGAAGCTAGAGGAACAAGCTGATAAAAATAGCCCGACAACTAATCATGTTGCAAGCAGTCACTTCGATAGCTGCGTTATCAGAAAAGACCGTACCTTCACAGACAGATCCTTTAGTTGCTATTAACTAAGCTATAACAGACCGAACATTATAGATCTACTGAGTTGAACGGCATCGTTTTGAACAGACAGCATTATGGGGCTTGATAGAGGGTAAATACTTCGACTAAAGTGACAAACTTACTCGGCCAAAGTAAAGAGGAAAGCTGGACCAATCCTCGATTATTTTCGCATATCCTCCACCGTTAACACCAAATTCCACGGCAAAGTATCCAAAATTGGGAGGAATGGCACTGTAGGCACCTAAACCAGGCTTCTTCAAATTCACTATACGCTTGTTTTGATCCCACTCGGAGCCCAAATCAAGCAGAGCCTTCTAAAATGGGGGAAAAAGAGACAAAAATTAAGAAAAACTATAAATGACCCAACGTGCCATGGTTGAGGTCAAGATAAGAATTAATTGATGCGAATAAAGTCATTAATTAACACTGATCAAAAGAAATTTATACTACTGGATAATTTTCTTCCTGACTCCAAGGGGAATTACTACAAACAACTTCAGGCGATAGGGTAACATCATCAATTTACCCCCCTCGATACCTATTTTAACACAAACAGAGTAGACCACGAGTGCATTTGTATGAATTGAAACTGCAAATCTATAGGGATACTAACAGTAATCTAACCTTAATGCTCTCTTAAACTACCCCCCAAACGAAATGGCACATAAAATAATGCCTTAAATGTAGCTGAGGAACAATCCTAAGGAAATCATACATGTTTCGTGAATTTATATCAGTTGCTCGCTATCGTAAAGTATGACTCTTTTGTTCTGTACGGCACCTGGTTCTACTTGGCATTAAAAAACAGGAGGTCACAGTTGACTGAGATTAGGGATGAGCTTAAGGTCGAATGCAGTTAACGCATGACATTCCACCAATCAAACAAAAACATTATGCATGAAAATAAGCTGCCTTCGTGGTGTTGATATTAGAAGATCAAAAGACTACAGAACCGAAAATAGTTTTAGTTTCGAAAAGGTATCAAGATGTCAGAAGCGAATTCACGTACGTGTTAATGAGTAAGATGGGGGCCCTAGTGATTAAGGCATGGGAATTGATTTTGCCGAGACAAAATTATCTATTTCAATATGGCATAGTGGTGAGACTAGGTAGGGTATGAGGAAAAGGAGACTGATAAACCATAGCGAAAACTGGAAACGCTAAAGTAACTATCTAACGATACTTAAATTTCACAGGGTTATTAAGAAACACGATAGACTTACTTTAAAGTAGGAAGGCAGTTCCTCCATCGTTTCTTTATCCACAGGGAAGCACTCAATTTGACAATGATGTTTGTAGTGATTCGGGTAGCCACCAACTTCCATAAAGACACAAGAGGCTCCCTTACCTTTCCATAACTCCGCCATTCGAGAGAGATCTCTCTTGAAGGAGACGGTTTCGTCAAATGCGTTTTCATCAACACGAGTCATTGCTCCGACATGGTCCAATGGAGAGAGAATACAGTGACCTCGAGTCAGACTCGCAGTTTCAGGCAACGACAAGAACATCTAAAAGGAAAATAAATAGAGGTCAGCAAATTCTAACTACCGTTTTCAAAGAAGCAGTTGGCAATTCGTAAAGAGCACATCCAAACTGGATAATAAACCAGTCAGACGGTAACCAGACAAATAATGAGCGCTTTAAGCCACGTTTACGAAAGTATGAACAGAAACTAATGATCGTTAGCCCATTGTGGGAGGGGGATAATTAATTAAGCACAAAAGTGGGAAAAAAGGGCTATCAATGTAAGTAAAGGAAATCAATCACAACTATATTAATTAAAATTCCAATGAATTATTGCAAAAAATATACCCAGTGCTAACGCATATAAAAAACTAAGAGGCAGAGTATGCAAGAGAACTATGAAGAACAACTCAAAAACTGCCTAAAAAGTAGCTGCTGTAGTAACAGCTTATGCATTTAACATTTAAATGTTAATTTATTTAACATAACAGATTGTGCCCCGTTGTTAACAAATAACACGAATTTTACCAAGTGGCTGACGAAACAACAACAATGACGTTAAAAGCAATGGTTGATAACACCTGGCTTTGATAGAGGTAAATAAACCTGAAACACTTTTATTAGAAAAACGGTTTCCAATATCCATGTGTAATTTCGGGCTTGTCAGTACTACTGAGAGCCGCGATATAACCTAATTAACAATCCCTGTCTTATCAGTGGTTCTTTCAAGAATAGCTAAAAGGTCAATTTAGATCTAAATTGCTCACATAAATCGCCGAAATACCTCCAATAAAAGAGAAAACGCCTTTCTGAGATAAGAAGTAGAAGGATTAAATAAGAAACCGCGACTGAGGAAGATGTAAAGAATAAATCGATTACTGTATGTAGTTAAATCTCGGTAAATTACGAAGCTTTGAAAGAATATAAAGCGAAATCACATCGGAAGATATCAAAACATTCAGAACAAAGTAATTTGAAAAGGAAAATAAAAAACAATCAGGATTAAATGAAATTAAATCACAAAAATTGCAACAAATACGCTAAAAAGAAGCTTACACGCTGTCCGACGCTCATTATCAAATAACGCGAAATTTGATGTATACAAGAGGAGCAACTTGATTCAGCATACTCCCTACGTTTATAAGCTAAAAATAGAATAAATTAAATTGATTGAAAATTTAATAAAACCAAAAATTTAAATCATTCTTACCAGCTATGGCATCGGATTTCGTATTCAGTCCTGTAGAATTCTGACTTTTAACTCGTTTACTGACGAAAGTATCATCATATTCATCATCGACAATACCCTTACACTATGGAAAATTTAAAAAAAACTATAAACAAAAAACACAAAACAATTACTCTTCCAGCCATTGATGCAAATTGTTTGTCGTACGATTTGCCACTTTCAAGTTTTTCTCGCAGAACTAAGTCGCCAATCGTACCACCTTCATCATCATCAGGATAGTACTTGGTTCGACGGCCTTGCTCATCATGATAGTCAAGTGAGCTGCTTTGATACTGTTTGAGTTGTAGTGGGACTTCATGACCCAAGGAATCAGTTGTGGTGAGATGTACTACATTTCGTGCAGACCCAGACCTTGCAGATGAAGCCAAGACAGTTTTAGTAAGGCGCACTTTTATATTACGTCTCTGAGCCTCACGAAGTTTATCCAATTTTGATTTCAATTTCGCGATCTTTACGTTATTTCCGATCAACTCGGCCTTCATAATTTGAGCACACATCGAATTTATGTCATCGTTTGTCACATATCTTTCCTCCACCTCTGTGACACTATTATTAGAGCTCACCACTTTCGTTTCTCTAATATCTCCCAATGTGTGTTCACGTTCCACACATGAAGGTTGAATTTCAGTGCATTTAGGAGGACCATTAATAAACCGCTTTAGAATTTCCGGATCTTTCAGGGGATCTTTCGATTCATTTTTTTTCCAACCCAAGCCCGAGCTTCTACCTCCCAATGTCTCCTTAGGAACACTCTTAGAAGATGCAACACGATTTAACATTGCGGCAAATAGATCGTCTTGGGCTCTTGTTTGATGAATTGATGATTGAGATTCTGAGTTATCTTTTGTATCATTGCAAGATCTTTTCACTTCCCATTCATAGCTATCAGAGCTGCTTGAAGAATGACGCCTTTTCTTAGACTTCCCCATCTTTAGGACATATGACCTAAAATTTCCTACTTACCGCAATAACCCTTGCAAATTTTAGTGACTATAAACAAGAATAGATATCGTGTTAGGGTTAGGGTTAGGAACAATTTAATATTTCCGAATTCCAAATTAGACAATCATCAAAAGCGTAAATTTGTAGATACAAAGCTTTTTTATTCTAAATATTAATTTTTAGATTAATTTAAGAACTTTGAATCATAATATTGACATAATTTGGTCGTAGGTATTTAGATAGCATTTGAATTAAGTTAATTCGCTTAAATTACATAACTTGTAAGCTAATTTCTGGGAAATTTCAATGTAGTAGACCATTCGTCTTTTAAACTTTGTTAATTAAGTTGCAAATGAGATTTCTCTTCCAAAATCGGTAATGACCTACTTTCTGATTTTTTGTGTAAGTCTAAGTGTGCTTATATGTATGAAAAACTGTTAGATATTGTATCTGTACCTATTATCTTTCCAAAACACCTGATTTTCCTTCCATTGAGGTTCTAAATTATGATCAGCTTTAAAACAAAAAAACCGAACATTTATCAATGCCAGTTACAATTTGGCTTAGTAGATAAAAGCAAATGCCAAAAGTTATGAAGCAACATCGCCAAGTGGATAAGGGTGAAGTCTTGAGAAGACTATTTTTTATAAAGAGCTTAATTTACTACTCAAAAATTAAGGAACTTTACGGCAATTTGGCAATATGATTTAATTGAATACAGTACATATTGCAGCCGTAACAAGAATTAAGGTTAAAAATTCAGAATCTAAGATTAACAGCTAAAAGTATTCAGCCACAGTCCCTAGTCAATAAGTTTTCTACTAGTTATACGTAGTCTTAATTCTATTGAATAGTGTAACAAAAAATATTGGTGTTTATGAAGGAATTGAGGGCAATTCAAAAATACTCTTAGCGTTTGCAACAATTTTCACAGACTTAATCGCTTATAAGTTAGCATATCTCTGGGAACGCCAAAATGCTTGATAGCTGCAAAATTTGCGACTCACAATACTTTTCAGGTTCTAGTGAAAAGAATACATCCTAGGTTAGCTTTGGTAAATTTGTGCCTCTACAGAATAATTATCACAATATTTAACCTGAAATACTTTAGAACCTTCAATGGCTTTATAGGAAACTTAACGTCACAACAGAATTTTTGGCGCTTTTTCGAACATTGCAATTATAGACTAGTGATGATCAAGGTAAAAATTTTGGCAATGAATTTGGATTCAGTTTGCAATATTAAAAAAATTAAACTATCATAAAATAAGTGAGAGGAGAGAATCAAAATCCATTCAGAAAGAGGAGATTGTGCACTAGTCCGTAATTACAATAATACAAAGAAGTAATAAAGAAATTTCTTAAATCAAGTACATTTTGTAGCACTCACATTTAAAAATATTATAAGAGCAGTTAAAATAAATATGTTCAAATTATTCACATGATTAAGGAGGCAGCCGAAGAGATTAAACATTAATGACAGTAAACTAAAAGCCAATATCCAAGGTTTTAGAATTTCAAACATAAAATTTTGTCATTCCTTTAAGAATGCTATGTTTAAACTAGAAATATTTGCAGCACAAGGTTATTTTCATTACTTGCAATGAAAAATTTTTGGGTTTAGCACCATTTTGAAAAATTATTATTGGCAAATAAATAAAAGCTGTCTGTTTATTTCTTCCATTGAAGTTGATTACTAAGCACTTAGAAATGGAAGAAGAGCTAATTTTTCTAAATTGTATTTTACAAACAAGTAGATCATCACTTCGCATCAGCTCAAAGTCATAAAAAAATTTAATTTTTCATTTAACCATGGGGTTTATTTATTCTTATGCTCTGTCCCCAGAAAAATTTGTATTCAACAAATTTTTTTCAAATTATATGCATATCAGCTATTTTATGGTCAATGGAGACAGTCAGTTGATAAATGATCTTTCATCTTGTCGGTCAAAAAGGGCATTTTTGACAAAGTCTTTGACGTATAACTAGTGTGAAGAAAATAATTCGCGTTAGATTCATTACCTGTTTTTGCACTAAAAAATGAACGTTTAGAGTCTTCATGCAATTGGTTAATTCAACAAGTTAAATATGCTAATTTAGAGGCAATTGTTTTAGTAATTTTAGTAATCTTGCTAAATTTTGTGGATTCGTACACTTATATTTAGTTTTCGCAGTGTGGCAAGATACAGTAAGTTGAATAAAAGCATAATAACCTGAAATGCGCTTATATATTTTAGAAATGGATTTTGTTAAATCGTTCAAATAGGAGCCAAACCGATCGAATTGATAAAATCAGACGAGTCATTTATGTCCATAAATCAAAGCGGAAGCGTTCTGGAGGACACCCAAATGTATTACCGGATAAACAGGGTTTATTAACATTAGATTTTTCATCTCTCCGTCAATTCCTCGAAGGTTTTATCTCCAATGTGTAGACTGTGGTTTGTTCTCTACAACAATATAATATCTCTTAGTAGCATTTTAACAATCGTTAATCCAAATGCATTCATTTCATTAAAGAAAATTTTACTTTAACTGTAGCATATCAGGCAATTGAATAAACAAATTGATCTTATTTGTGGTATTCAAACACATGAATATTTAAAAATAAAATAAATGTAAATAAATTTATACATTATTTAAGTTAAGTTTTATTTATGCAAATGGAATATCTGTTTTAATAAGTATCTTAAGGCGAACAACACTCAAAATAGATACTATTCGACCTTGATTGTGTAAAGGAATAGAATTATGAAGCCCTTATTCATCGGTGTAAGTGGAGGCGCTGCTTCTGGAAAGGTAACTCATTCACCACATAAATTTTATTGTCTAGAATGAGACTTGTAATAAGTTGGTTGCTGAGCTTAATAAGAAGGCTAGTGACAAGCGTACTATTATCCTCTCCCTATATTCTTTCTACCAGACCCTTTCTGATGAGGAAATCAGTCTGGCTAAAAGTGGGAATCTGGATCTTGATCATCCTGGTTCGTCCCCTCTAATCCTCTTACGTTCTAGATGCATTTGATTTCGACGCACTTGAGGACACAATGAAAAGAGTTAAAAATGGTGAATCTGTAACACTCAAACCTTATAACCCGGAGACCTTTACAAAGTATTAAAACTATTGAGCTCATTTTAATTTGTAGTTCTGATGAATCTATTGAAATTCCTGCCGGTATTGATATTGTCTTTGTGGAGGGCACTCTTACTTTCTACAAAAAGGATATTCGCGATATGTTTCACTTAAAGATTTTTGTTGAAGCTGATGCTGATACACGTCTTTCACGAAAGGGTTTGATATATGAATTGTTTAGTTTCTCCTTCTTAGTGCTCCGAGATGTTGTTGAACGTAAGCGAAGTCTAAATGCCGTTTTGGATAATTACTTTAACTTCGTGAAACCTGCATTTGAACAATTTTGCCTACCTGTGAGTTCATTTTTGTCTGCCTAATTGATTATTATTTTAGACGAAACAATATGCAAATGTTATCTTACCACGTGCCTCAGAAAACAAAGTTGCAGCTGACCTAATTATTGAGCATCTCCTTCAATCATCTAGTAATCCTCCCTCCTCATCATCAGCACAGCTTGGTCGCACATTACGTCTTCGCAACCAATCGGAATCTGCCGTTTCTTCACTCTCTATTCGTCCGCATTGATGCAGCGTTCATAATTTACTCCAACTTAGGATTTTCCTTCTCTGCGCTTCCCCATTCTATTCATTTCCTGCTCTCTCTCTCTCTCTCCCTCTCTCCTTCTTCCTGGTTCTCTTTCCCTTCTGCTTCTTCGTGTTATGTTTCCCGCTTTTATTTTCTAGCTAGAATATGTTTGCCACAGAGCCTACGAAGATATACAACTTATTGCAAAATTTTGTATTTTTAGGCGCGTGTACTTATTATATATAAACGCCTTTCGGTTAGAAAATATTCTTTTGGTTTACTTGTTAGACTTGAGCTCATATTATGTGTATTTGTGCCATGTTTTAAATTTCATGATTCAGAAAAAAGTTCATATAGAATTTTTTTAGATCAATGAACTAAACTTATGATTGCTGTTTCAAAAAGGTAAAATGCTACTCTTGTACTAGTACAGCTTAAATTTTGTTTGGAACTAATGACATCTAAATTTCAATTTAAAGGACGCTGTCTGCTGTGGACAGTTATTTATATCATCGTAGTGTTATTGATTTCTTTGTAGTATCCGCCATATAATTTGGGATCTTGTGTTGCCCAGAGAAACGTTTGCACCTTTCACGACACCAAAGGTGATGTAGAGGGGCTGAAGCTGATTTCAGCTGATCAAGTGGAACTGATCATCACAACAATAATTAATCGTCGGATAATGGCTACGAAATTCCTTCCCCCTCCCACATCTTGAAGGGGATATTTTTACCACAAACCAGTCCCAATATTTGGAACCCAAAAGTAGAAGACCTTTAATCTGTCCGTGCTGATGTGCTCATTAAGTCACTAAGAGGGTTTCAAAGAAAAGTTGGCTAATTAAAACATTTAATGATCGATGGAGCCAATCTTGTTAACATGAGCATGGTATTGTTCCTTAAGTCAAATATGTACCTCCTCTTGAGATTTTATAACTATGAAACGTCATCTGAATGGCTTGCAGTAAGTGGCATTACAATTGTTGAAATGAAATGTTAAATGTCATATAAGTAGAAGCAAAGTCGGAGAAGGTACCACTAAGATAATTGACAGAATAGTAAAAAGGGAGTGAATCAGAAGTTATTTCTGATTGACAAGAGACCAGAGGCTTATTTCCAATAGGAAATTGCGCGCAAATCTCTATTCAAACATGTGTCCATGCCTTCCAAATATGAAGAATAGTTATGCAAATTTAATAGAATTGTTCACTTAGTGGTTATCGTATCCCGAACGTTGATCAGCCTTATGAACGGACCGATCTTATTCACAAGAATCGGCGAGCATAAGCCCTATGCTTCGCCTAACTAAGAAGTGTTCCTACTTTAATGCAAAAACTTACACATGCCCGTCATTCACAAGCCCTGGCTTTAGCTTGCACGCATCCTATTAACACCGCGACCTCCAAGATGACTAGACTTGATTTCGACTTCTGCACTCGACCTACGACTGATGTATTCTATGTGCAGTATTAAGTGAGTTGGAAAGAAGAGCCAAACAGCATCTCCCTTCATAGTCGCCAGTACCACCTCCTCATACCTCCTGGTAAAAGACTAACGCGTTTCACATCCTTCAAATTAATAGAATAGATGGCACCGTTGCTCAGTGACGATGAATTAGAAGAGAACAATTTTCATGGGTAAATATTTTAAATAGTAATATAAATTGATGCAAACATAAGCATGCTGAAGAATATGGGAGAAAGATTTCAACATAGAAAGTTCATTTACACACTCTGACTCGTAGGTTTACTCTATCACTCTCTTTGGCTCAAAAATTGGCGCACACCTGCACCCCACTTCCTCTCCTTTCGCCTTTCTCATGTAATCATTCATTTATTCATGCGTTCCTTCGCTAATTCATTCACGATTACCAAATACACTTCTGTCCAATCAAATTCTCGGTGTTCTCGCTCGTCTTAGGCTTCTATATCCTCGTAGTCTTAGGAAAACTGTATGGTCAGACACCCAATTAGCTTCATAGGAAGTAATGGCTACTTTATGATCCTTTAACGCCAGGATGAATTGAGGCTCCCTTTACCTCGTCTTTGTTGCACGATGTTGACACCCTCCAATTATGATTCAATGGTTCTTCTGAATATACGAAACTTAATATATGACCAGGTTAATACATGCTACACAAGCTTTAAGGCTCCAATAAAATGTTCATTCGATGCTCTTGAAAGTGATCAAAAGGCAAGTAGATGGGGTGTAAAATCGGAGGCATATTGAGTAGAAGTAATAGGGATTGTTTCAGTTGTGTTCTAATGGGTGTTTAGATGTATTTAAAGATTTGTCATCAGGCGTGGATGTACGAAGGAAGAAATGAAGAAGTGATCGGATGAGTTAATGAAAGAATGAATGAGGGAATGCATGCGAGGGAGAAGTGAGAAAGGAGAAGAAGGGGAAGTGGGAGCAATATTGAAGGCGTCAGTACTAAGAGAGGTTATTGCGAATTGCAAGGAGACTGTGGAATGAGGTACGTTAAGGCTGTTGAATGATTTAGCATTCTATCTTCATTGACATTAAGTATGAATCTGTGAGCATATTTCGTAGCAAAACAGGGGAATAAAGCAAACTGACGAATCAGAGTGCGCTGGTGCAGCTAATCGAATATTGGCTTTCCTCCTCTCACCCTTAATTGACACACACTCACACCGAGTATAAGACCATGCACTCCTACCTCCTCTGCCTACTTCTTCGGACTCCTTATTCTTCTCATTTCCACGCCTAACAACACTACAATTTAAACCGCTACTATTGAAGAATGCATTTTTGCCGACTCGTGGTTCTTTTGTTACCATCACTACCTTTACTTCAGACTCGACCACCCACACCTCGACTTCAAATGCTTCATACTCTTTTTCCCAAACCAATCTTTCATTCCACTAACGACCTTTACCTCCACACGCCTTCCCATCCCTCTCCCTCATGGCTCTTCTCAAACTCCACCTTACCATCAACCTCATCTTCAGCTTCACCTAGCACACAAAATGCCTCAGTTCCACAGGAGGATGCATCTCACACTCTCCATCACCGCTACCACCACCACCGCCACCACCATCAGCACCTCCACATTCACCTCCTTATTCATGGCTTCCACCGCTTCAACCACCTCCCCTATCTTCATCTCCTAGGAAACACACTTTCCCTTAACCCACGTTAAACACACCATGAAACACGCCAGTGTTCACACTAGGTACCGCACATTCTGCCCACGTTGCGGCAAGAACTTCACCCGACCATCCCTCCTCGCACGCCATCTGAGAGTCCACTCGAGGGAGAATCATTTTGTCTACCAATGCTGTCCCAAGTGCATCCCAACCATGAGCTCATGCACGTCTCACCAACGACTTCATACTGGTGAGAAGCCCTACGTGTGCCAAGTGTGCGGTCACAAGTTCACTGTATCATCATACCTCATTTTCCACAACAAATTCAAGCATCCACCTACTTCTCCTCATTCTTCTCTTCCACCTCCTCAATCATCAACCGCAATTTTCTCTTCACGTGGCTCCACCTCAACACATGTCCAACCCAAATAACTCAACTTCATATCATATGTAAGAGCTGTCGTCGAAACTTAAACACTGAATGTGCATGGAGATTGCATATTCAACCCCCACTACCACCAACAAAATTGGCCTCACTCCTTTCCATACTGAAATTACATGCCACAAATCTTGCTCTTTCATGAATACGTTAAGAACTAATCATCAATATTCCCATTGTCACAAATCATTTGCATGAAGAAGGGTTTCAAATTTTGAGGAAAGTGTTCTGCGCGTGAACACCTTTAGAACATCTAATAAAGATCCCAATGTTGTTCCATCACATGCTCACGTGGCACCTCATACAGAGAGAACGCTTCTGGTTGCAACTTTGCTTTCACTTCTTCAAAAAGGAAGACCAAACTGTTTATTTCAGTCAATATGATTACTGTCTACTGAACCAATAGTTAGTAGCTTTAAAACGTTATATTTGGGCCAATGGGAGGAACGGAGCATGAAGCTCAAAATTTAATTTCCCACCTTCTGTTTCTTCAACGACGTACTGAGCACCTGGTTCGAATCAAACGTGATTAAAATATAAACCAAGGCACGAAGAAGAGAAGGACGATTGGGGTACCTTGTTGAAGTGAATGTGGTAGGTGAAGTTGCTTATAGCTGCCTTAGATAGTCTTGAGTTTTATACTCTTTAAACTCATCAGAGTGTCATGTTCCATCTCATTCACTAGGAAGGTGAGGATGTTAAGTATTACGTGGTTGCACATTCGCTCTTTGGAGATCCTGAATTATGCAAATGGGGGTAGTTCTCCCGTGGTCTACAAACGGACGTTTAGGAACGGAGAATGGAGTGTAAAAGTACTTTGATCACGCATATTAGTGAACCATTGAACCGAAAACTTTTTCTGGTTATCACAAAAAGAAAGTTTGACTGCCAACCAAGTGTGATTCAAATAAATAAGTTGGAAATAAAGAGCAGAGAAAGAAAGAGGCAATGGGAGGGTGTTTTCTCAAGTTGACGGCACAATTTTTAACTAGTGGAATCAATGGCACCTTTAATTAAATTAGGACTAATTTAGCACTGTTGCAGTGCTATGACAATGCCATGGAAAAATGCGGTTAGCCCAACATATTTTCCCAAGACAGCGAAGATTCCGCAAGTGCATAGAAGCTTCATTCGAACAGAAGACGTCTGAAATTGGGAGTATTAAAAGATCACTAACAGCTGTGTGACGGCGCAGCGTGGCAAGTAAATGTCGCAAATCGATATTACCAAATGCACTCATTTGGAGTGAAATGAGCTGCTGCCGAATACAGTTGTAAGAAGAGAGAGTGAGAGAGTGAAAAAGGAGAGAGAGGGGGAGAGAGAGAGGGGAAATGAGCTCAAAAAATTACTGCACTTAATGGGCCCCTGAACACCACAGTTTTCCATAACACAAACATGAAATGAGGAAACAGACAAGTGGCAGTTGCCTACTCCTTTATTAGCAAACTGAGTCACAGAGCATTTTTACATTAAGAGTGATGAAGCAATGGATCCTGGAACTTGAATTATTTAAACTAAATTGAGAAAGAGTTGCTTGGGATTACAGTACTGGAGGAGCAAGAAAGCGCAAGTGTTGGGCAAGTGAACTAACCCCAGTTGATGACATAGGAGAGGAAGGAATCGAGAGTAGAGCAGAAGACAAAGGACTTGTCTTCACCCCTTGGTCTTCTGAAAGTGACCGACTCCGTACGCACGTCACCCTCCACTTTAGATTCTGAAGTTTCAAGAAAGTGCGTAAGTAGTGTGCTAGTACGTGGATATGGAAATGTGGTTAATTCAAATTCGAGAGCCTACTGCATTTTGGAGCACTGTAGTCACGGCAGAGATCGGCGTTGGCGGTCATGATTGTGGTCTGGAAAGGAAGATGGGAAGGAAGGTGTGAGAGTCACGTTGGAAGTGAAGACATTTGAAAGCACACTCGCAGTCTCACTACACTGACAACTGACAAGGATGTGACACATGCTGGAACAAAGCGCCGAGTAGTGCCCTCGATGAGTGTGGTCACGAAGTGGTTGGCAAGACGATCGTGTCTCCCATCCCACTCTACTTCCTCTTATACTTCATGATCCGTGCCTCCATCTTTCCTACTGCGCATGCTCTCCATGCCCCCCTCCCAACGCCCCTCCCAACGCCCCCCTCCCCTCGACCGCTCAAAAGGACTTGCCTTGTCTCCACCATGTGCCTCAATGAGGACTGCTCACCTCGTGTGCCCAACTCTGCTTACTACTCAACTTACATATAGACCTCGAGCGCATTCGTTCTGTCGAGCACAGGCAATGGTAACCTCTGACTCGCCAGCGGCATCGATCTCAGCTGGAGAGGAGAGGTCTGGCTGAATGCAGTCTGCAAGAAAGGAGTAATGCGGAGAGTGGCAGTGACATTGACATTCACACCATGACATTTAAAGAACCCCGAACTCACTTTTTTCAATGTTGGTGAATTGGCCACCCTGTGAGAAGTAGACAGTTACATAGGCGAAGCGTTGGTCCTTCATGTACTCATCCATACGGAAACCAGCCCAGATGTGGTCCTCAACATCGCACACACGAGCAGTACCCACGTAGGTGCCGTCTCCATCTGTTGCAGCAAAATGAAAATGCATTCCACATAGCACAAAGAGGCTCGTGTGCGGCTGTGTGATTAAGTGTGTGTGCGTGTTTGTATGAAAAGTGAGAAGCTACCTGCCTTCAGTAAGTGTGCAAAGAATAGCGTCATTTATATCCCATTCCTTTGTACACTGACATTCACCATCGAAGAGGTAGTCAGTTTGGTCAATGCGAAGAACCTAAGAGAGAACGCGAGAGTTACTGCCAGTTAATTGTAACTCGGCAAAGTGGGGTGGAAGTAAGCAATGTGCATCAAGGTGTCGCCTACCGTGTATGGTCCAGGAAGAGTCACATTGATAGTGACACATCCCTCTGTTTCTTCTACCAAGTACTGCGCACCTGGTTCAAATCGAACGTGGTTAAAATATATATGCCACAGGAAGTTGTACAGATGGTAGCATGGTTAGAGAATTGACTTACGAGCCAAAGCCACGAGGAAGAGAAGGAGGATTGGAGACATCTTGCTGAATTGAGGGAGTGGTGAGAAACGTTGCCTGATGCTGTCTTAGGTCTCCTCCACTTTTATACTCCTCAAACTCACCACGTTTTCATGTTCCATCTCATTCGCCAGTTTTCATAGGCGGGATGTGGGGTTTTCGCATGTTTGCAGGCTGGCACGTTTGCATGTTTGCATGTCTGCAAGTTTGCATGTTTGCCCTCCGGTCGTCCAGAATCACGCACAAGAGAGCAGTTCTTGCATGGGCTCTAGCAGGTCGTTGCGAACTCAAGCACACAGTAATTGAGGACTCTTTTCTTGCAACTGGCCAAAAGGTTAGTGCGATGCTTTTCAGGTGGACTTGATTGCATAAGTTCTTTATCTCTCTCACTGCCTCTCCCCCACCCCCAACCCC